AGCACATTTGTCTCGTGTTTTCTAAGGGACAAGAAACACATTTGTCTCGTGTTTTCTAAGGGATAAGAAAGCACATTTGTCTCGTGTTTTCTAAGGGACAAGAAAGCACATTTGTCTCGTGTTTTCTAAGGGATAAAAAAGCACATTTGTCTCGTGTTTTCTAAGGGACAAGAAAGCACATTGTCTCGTGTTTTCTAAGGGACAAGAAACACATTTGTCTTGTGTTTTCTAAGGGATAAGAAAGAACATTTGTCTCGTGTTTTTTTAAGGGACAAGAAAGCACAGTTGTCTCGTGTTTTCTAAGGGATAAGAAAGCACATTTGTCTCGTGTTTTCTAAGGGACAAGAAAGCACATTTGTCTCGTGTTTTCTAAGGAAAAAGAAACACATTGTCTCATGTCATTTTTTATTAAGTATTTGTCACATATTTTCCAACGGCAGAATATTTTTAAGAATCGAGGATCGCCGCTTTACCTCATATCAAGTGTAATCATTAATAGATTACTAATGTTTTTTTTTATGAAATCTTAAACTTAAAACCTACAGTGGAACTATTAATTCTAATATCTCTAAATGTGCTGAACCTGAAGGCGTACACTGAATCATACGGAATCCCGTTCATGATGGTACAATGGTGAAACCGCAGTGGCACGTACGATGATGAAAAACACAATGGTACGAACGTGAAACAACGATGGTACGATGGTAAAAAATACGATGTTACGATGATGAAAATACGATTATATACGATGATCGTACTAATCAGACAGCCTCGTGTTTCGATGCTGTTACTATTACAATGACTCCTATGCAGAGGGAGGAAATTTTTGATTGACCGGAAGTGACCTAAAAACGGTATAATAAATACAGAAAACACAGAACAATGGCTGGTAGCCGGTATAAGGACGGGCATAATTATTATCTTTTTTAGAATATTATGGAAGAATGTGAGACACATTTGTTTTGAGTGTCCTTTCTATTGTGTGTCGAACACATCTTTCTAATTTCCATTTTGTCGAAAATATGAATGTTTACGAGCACATAAGTCACACATCGAGAGACAAATGTGCTCCGAGACAAATGTGCTCCTACAGAGGTAGATTGTACAAAAAGGTTTAAGACGTTAATATTTCAATATTGCAAAACAGTAAGCAAGTTTATGCAAATTCAACAGTTATCACTCAATAAATGAATTATCACTCAATGAGTGAATTTGTCACTACGCAAGTTTAAATGAAATAATTATATAATGCAAAATGGAATCAAGCATAATGTGAGGTTAAAATATCATCAAGCAAGATAGAATAAATGCATAGATCAAAATAGTAACATGGATCATTTGACTGATTGCGACATTAAGCGTTAACGTTGCAGCATTTATTGGTCATGACATATTGTGCAACCTTTAAGCATGTGTCACATAATCGCTCCGACGCGCCAACGGTGGCGAACGGAGATTAATCTGAAATACGTTGTCGATTGTTTGGCATCTCGTCCAACAAAATTACCGGCTTATTTATGATCAGTGAGGTGCCGGCCAAATTACTCTTTAAGTTAAAAATTACCGATCGACCGGTGGAATTTTTAGCTTTTGGAGTTGTCGGTAAAGCCTCGATGACTAATCGCCGGCAATGGGGGTGGGGCACAGCCGACCATCTCATGGACTAAGGCCACCTTTGTACACAAGACTGATGGTTCTGACTTTTTCTTTGCCGTCAATTGTCGTTAACATCTAGCCGGACCTCTTTCGATAAACTGCACGAACCGACCAGGTCCCGGCCGATGACATTCATTGTGACGTGTCCCTATCGATTGCTTAGGAAATACGGACGTTTCAATCCCAGGACGGTTCACACCAAGACGTTTATTCCAAAATAACTTTGATCACTTTCAATGAGTATTTATACTGGCAATGTCTGAAAAAGTTTTCCTACCCGGTGAACAATCGCTGACTACTCTTTGATAAACCGGGCATCAGCAAAATATGCCGGCATATCAAGAAGAAGAAGAAGAAGAAGAGGAAGAAGAAAATGAAGCAACAACGATTGATCTATTCAGTTTTGAGATAAATATGACCTGTTTACGAAAAAAAGGCGATTGTATCCGCATGGCGACAGTATCCGCATGGCGCCGACACGCTACATATTATGCCGACATGACACACGAAAGAATATGATTCGATAACAGAAAACTTATCAAGGTGTTTTTCGGCCCATTTGGATGACCCATATTGGGTCAAGTCCACCCCCATGCCAAAAGTTTTTTATTCCAATTTCATTGTGAAAAGTCCCAATTTATGAAAAAATAAAAAGAAAAAAAAAAGGGAAAATTATTGTCACTTTGTTACATTAATCTGCAATATACTAATCATATTAAAATGTAACTTTGGATTCCAAATTGCAATATGTACTTAAAAGTGAGTTCAATTTACCAAATATTTTATTTCTTTGTCTTATTTGATGAACAATGTGTTTCCAATATTTTCCCAGTTTGTCTTAAACACCATTAATATCGGCATGTCTGGTGGTCGGGTCTTATTTCCAAAGTGCTGAGAAAAAAACACCTTCGTAACGTCATTTAGCAGCTATGCCACATTTAACTTGGCTAAAACTTGCACAGATTGATATAATCTATTTTAATTCATTTGTTACAATATCATTGATTTATATGGTAAAAAAGCATATAATTTCAACTGATCATGAGTGTCACGTGACACCATTTTATTGAAATTTAAAGAAACAATACGACGAAATGAAGACGAGTAGTGTACGTTGCATACACATAAGGGAAGCAACTCTGTAGGGTATATATATTATACATGTATTTGGACGGCTTACTAGTACACAAACTGTTAGATTAAAGACATTAATACACGACATAGACGGGCAAGAAAGTGTTAATCGGCCCTGAAAGGAATAATGCCGAGGTGAAGCCCTCAGGACCATTATTCATTTTGCGGGCCATTCATCACCTTACAGTGTAATCTCTTATTTTACTCGCCTATTCGGCAAAAGAAACACTTACGTGACGTCAAATAATGTACGAGGGGTTATCCAAAAATTCGTGGCGTAAAATTTATTTGAGATATTGATTTGATAAATAACAAATAAACACAGAAAAATCATGCAAGTAGCTTCTTATATTACGACAATATTTAATTTTACATAAACACATGTCGGCGACATTACATTTACTATTGTAGAGTAAAACAAATAAGGCCTTCTATTGCTAATTTTAAAACTCAAATATATGCCAGATATACAGTTGAAAAATACATAGCTAAACAGAATCAAACATATGAATTGTTTCAGAAATCATGGCAGAAATACAAAAACCTAGCAAATTTAGAATAGTGTTTGTGTATTCTGTGTATTAATGAAGGTTTAAGTCATGTATTATAATTCTACAACTTTGCACTTCACTGCTGCGGCACCAGGAGACACCATCAAAAATCTAGAATTCCCTATTATTTGAAATTTGAATCTGAGATAGAAATCCTTCTAGTAGATTTCACCGAACCTTTTTTTATTTTCTTCATTTTTATATCCTTTTTCTTTGAAAAGCATATTTATCCCATAGGTACAAAATCTGAATATTTAATTTTAAGCATTCATTACAACATTACTTTAAGCTATAGAGTAAAACTCTAAATATTATTAAAGGGGGAGGAAGGAAAGGTATGCCTCCTTTCCTCCTTTTCTCAAAATCACTGTACAGTATGAAAATCCTCAACTGATATAGAATTCTCTCTACTGCATCAGAATAAAGCAATATTGATAATAGTTATGTACAAAGGATATGGTTAATACAGGTTCAATTGAAATCAATGTATTTGTACTGATTAATATGGTTTCATATGAAATTACTGTATTTGGTGCTGATTGATATGGCTTCATTTGAAACTATTGTATTCGAACAGATTAATATAGTCTCATTCAAAACAGTTGTATTTGTACTGATTAATATTGCTTCATCCAAAACTACGTACTGGTACTAATTAATATGGCTTCTTTCGAGACCGTTTTGTAGTTTTTTTTGGACTGTTTAATAGGGCTTCACTTGACACTTGTGTAATTGAACTAATTATATAGTTTTCATAGGAGACTATTATACTTGTACTGATTAATATTGCTTCATTTGAGAATATTTGTTTTTATACTGATTAATATAGCTTCATTTTGAAACTAGTGTATTTGTACTGATTAATCTGACTTCATCTGAACCTTGTGTATTCGTACTGATTAATATGGTTCCATTTAAAACTATTGTATGTGTACTGACAATTACCAAAAAAACACATGTCGGCGACAGTGGCTCACTCCAATAAGTTATTGATGTCAACGTTGTAATAAAGTACAACTTGTGCTACGACGTTACGCAGTAAATTATGACAGTTACAGCTTCTCAAAGTAATGTCCGTTTTCCCGTCCATCACTAAATCTCTTATGCCACTTTAACACTTATGATCGTGGAATTTTATTTTCGCTGTTCGCCTGCTGAATGTTTTCAAATATTTTTGTAGGTGTCATTTCCAAATTATAACAAAACTTTATGATGGCGCGATTTTCTCATATCTATGTGTCCGCCATTTTGCCATTGTAATAAAATATTTATAAATATAAAATAATTATTTATTGACGCAGTTACCTGTTCCTTTCAAAATGTGTTTATAATATTCTACAAGGTATGCTGATAAAATGTCATTACAATACACGTTGACGTTCAATAGATATTTAAAAAAAGTCCATGAATTTTTGGATAACCCCTCGTATTTGACTATAACGTATATTACTTTGGATGTCGACTTGTTTTGAACTTGTTTTACGGCGGAACTACTATTTTTAGTTCTTGTTAAATATACATGTATTTGCATAATAAATATCAACATACGGTTTGTACAATTTTAGCAAATAAATTGATTTCAAGTGCCCGGGATCCATATTAAGATGAATTTCCGAAATATGTCACGTAATTGCTTCCGTACAATAGTTGTTCTCAACGTGTTCCATTTTTAAACCAATCAATGTTGAAGGTGTGTGCGTGCCCACCAATCGTTTATTTATAAACCTGAAGGTGTGTACGAATTGTTTACATTAGTATAATAAACACGCGCGTGCGAAGGGATAACTTTCTTGTGAACTGTAAGTTTCATTCACATATTTTTACCATTGTCAACATTTTTAAAAAATTAAAGTCAAGTTTAATAAAATAGATTTAAGACTATTTTGTCGACTTTGTCTAAAAACTGAATGACCTGAATCTAAGCTAAAAGTTTGCATAATAGATTATAACATTTAAGGACTTTTAGCCACGTGACCTTACATTGAACCTACAAGTATTTGAAAGAAGCGAACAAATGTTATCGATTTCTCATTCTGTTCATAGCTTCTTGTATGTACAGACAATTTATTTTGAAAAATCTTTCCTTGATAGTTATTTTTGTTCTGATGTACATAGTACATAATAATTTGGTATTTTACTGATGATATCATCTAGGGAGATTTACATGCATATAATAATTTGGTATTTTACTGATCTAGAGAGATTTACATAGTACATATAATAATTTGGTATTTTCACTGATCTAGGGAGATTTACATAGTACATATAATAGTTTGGTATTTTCACTGATCTAGGGATATTTACATAGTACATAAAATAATTTGGTATTTTCACTGATCTAGGGATATTTACATAGTACATATAATAATTTGGTATTTTCACTGATCTAGGGAGATTTACATAGTGCATATAATAATTTGGTATTTTCACTGATGATCAAATATCATCTAGGGAGTTTTAAGTATCATTAGTCAATTAACACTGATTAAATCACAAAGGTATTTCATATTCTCTATAAACTGTAAGTACTATACATGTGTAAATATAGTTACACGAGGAAAGTTCGATAACTGAAAACAGATCAAGAGAACCATCCTTATATGATGTGTATATAAACTGATAAAATCTATATTCTGTTTCAGCAGACTGTTTCTGCGCTTACGTCATCAGATAGTTGTGAAATAACTATAAAGATTGAAGATAACATATTTTTTAGATAGATACTCTATTGAACTCGATGATTATTCGGATATACATGTGCATTAACTAACGATCGAATTACTGTAGACAGCAATATTACAGTATTGGAATAACTGACGAGTTACTACGACCTTGCTATACTCAGCAGACGTCCTTCAGAAAATCTTTAGTGAAGGACAGAAACTATAGGAGACTGAGTCTACATCTCACTCATTTAATGGCAACACCGGTTATCATAGTTCACGGAGGCGCATGGACTATTCCTGATAAGCTTATAAGCCGTCACGTGACGGTACGAAATGTGCTGCACCACGTGCAGGTTATGCGTTTTTAGCACGTGGAGGCTCAGCTCTGGACGCCGTGCAAGCTGCGGTTTTAGTGCTGGAAGATGATCCCACATTTGATGCCGGTAAGTTACTTTACGTTAAAATGACTCGTTTTTGTGTAAATTTATTTATTGATTAGATGCATCTTTTTAAGCTTATATAATGAAATAACATTGCTAAAATATGGGTTTGTCTTGAAAATAATGAATGTGAAACACACTTTGATGCAAGCGAGTGTGGATATCTGAAAATATATTGCAGGAACTAACAGTTACCATTCTATGAACTTGGTCTTTAACGTAAGTTAATAACCAAGTTTTTGTACAACCAAGTTTTTGTAAGAAAAGTGTATTTTTGTTAATCACGGGAAAAGAGAGACATATAGTAAAACAGGATATGACTAAGTAACTCACTCGGAGGAAGATTTCATTTCATTGGTCTATTTTCTCATGTCCGGAAAAATATACTTCTATATTAAAACAAAGACACATTTTCTAACTAAAGCAAGCTATTTTCACGTCAATTTATCGTTTAATGGTCTTTAAATGAAAGAATTTCAAACTTTCAACACATGTCATTGAATAGCCAATTAGGTGCAATGCTGAGGAATTGAAAAATTATCGAATAAACAATTTTATTCCACAATGTTAGCAAATTTCAACATACAATGTATAAGGATAACCTGTATAATGTCACGTATGCATAATGATGCGTGCATCTTCCCGCGCAACAAGCTTGTTTATAGTTAAATTTAAATTTGTTTGTTTATTTAAATTCGTTAAGGACTTTCATTGCCAAATGATTTCAATTATAATAAAGGAATGTTTCGTTATTAAAATGACATCGCAAGTTTCCTTCGATAAGCCAATAAAACAAAGGCAGACATTTTTTTCTTCAGAATGATCTATATTGTTTCTAGTCACAGATCCTGGCAGATTTTGTGATACAGATCCGGGTGTGCAGTGATGGGTTTTGAAATAAATGTTTGCTATAAGACTCTGTTTATTGGAAGACGAACCTTTAAAGATGGTTGTATTAGCGGTATTTTGGTACAGCGATAATAATATCTTAAATTTAGAAAATACGATATCTTTTTAAAACGAGTCAGATTAACTTCTCTCTTCCTCACGGTGCGTGCACGTCTCAGAGAAGGCACAAGACACCGGCAGAAGATTTGAAGAACCTGGGATGGCGATAAATAAACAAAGACCAGAACTTGTACTTGCGGACCAGCAGTTGATGTCCTGACTAAAGATGAGGGGTGATGCCTAACAAAGTATAGGCAGGGACGAGGAGGAAAGTGTGCCTTTTCAGGGATTGTCTATTCAGGTTTCTCATTGGCCGCCGTACATTGACCTACTTTTGGCTGAAAATTCATATTTGGGATATTACTCCGGAGATGAATATCACCACCTTGCGCTTCAAACTCATGACTGATGACGTGTCCTGCAATTGGTCCGTACGCGTCAGCAAAAGCTGCTCATTGTGCTCTTGTAGGCTAAATAGTATACTACAGACAGGAAGTGTCAAATTAATTCAATTTACCGTCACAGTTACAGTCGATATGGTCCATTTAACTGTATGAATTACAACTCCATTTCGGGCAGCTTATCGATATTCATTCATTCATTCATTCATTCATTCATTCATTCATTCATTCATTAACTCGTTTGTTCGTTCGTTCGTCCGAGATTTTGAAATCTTAATAATTTGTAAGGTTTTACATGTAATTTTGGTGTTGAAATAATAGTAATTTGTGTCAGTTATGATGACAGCAATGTGAAACTCAGTTGTAAACTATTTAAAGAACTTGACATTCTTCCAAAAATATTCCCAGTATAATGTTATAAAACTTTGTGCCACCGAGTGTATAACTACTTGCATGTGCTTTAAATTAAAATAAATCATTTGTTTAAAAGTTACTTTTTTATATATACATGTAGTTCGTGGATAGATTGTTTGATTGATATAAACTGTTTTCCTTAGCTCTAGGTAGAAAAAAATCTTTTTTTTAATGTAAATGGCTGTTAAAAAAATCCTAATAATATTTTTCGAAGTATTTAGATTGTTAATGCATTCGCTATATAGGCGAAATAACCGACTACCCGATATAATTTTAATGTATGGAAGTTCCGATGGGACATTACGTTAGACGACGAGTTCTTAAATTGTTTTGTAAATGCGGAGTTAAATTGCAAATTTACGATTTAACTACAATTCTGTATATTTGTTAACTCAATTCTTTCATAAATAACTTTCAGTATCTGTTACAAATATTACCACGGCGAATTTTCGTGATATTTAAATAATATCAAATGCATTCGAGACTCGAACCGCGGGTCTCTGGATTGCCGGTCCAGTTTGCTCACCACTACACCACAGCGGCCGTTGTATTTTCTTCGTGCTTCAAGTCCTGCCTGTGGCATGATTTTCTATGTATAGTTTTCCGCTTATGACTTTTTTCCTTTCATATACATGTACTAGTATATTATTTCGGTAGTTGTCTTAAACAAAAATAATTGTGTTTCCCATAAGATATTTATGATAAGAAAAAAAAACCCGAAAAGTAGCTATAAATAGCTCGCCACTATGCAATAAAGTTAAAATAACTTAGATATATAAGGTCAATTAGCACAAAGAATAAGCAACGGCTGATGCAGTAATGGACCCGCAATCAAGAGACGTTTAATTACCGGCTGCGGTGTGCCGATCTTTTGGCAAAATAACAGACATGCGTTCGATTTTAAAAGTGAACGATATTTATTTTCTATATTTCCCGTAATTCTTTTCGCACAAAGTTCTGTAAGCACGCAACACATACACACAAACACAATTTTAAGTTTGAGTTTTTGCAGACAGATCTCTAACAATACTTTATCCTTGTTATAAAGTTAATAATTAAGTTGTGTTACAAAATTAATGCTATTTTGCCAATCCATGTACGTGGTATTAGGATAAATTCTGATAATTTTTTTAGGAACGGGGTCCGTATTGACCGCAAATGGTGATGTCGAAATGGACGCTGTAATAATGGACGGCAAGACGTTAAAATCTGGAGGCGTGGCTTGTGTACATAATATACAAAATCCTATTACCCTTGCCAGGGAGGTAATGGAAAAGGTACACCATTTTTATGCAAAAAATATATTAACAAATGCTTTGTTCTTTAAAAATGATTACCATACAAAACAACGATTGTAAGTAAATAAGCTGTTGCTCAATTTTGTCGAGACCGCTTGCACTTCCACTTCTGGCATATATTTTAATGCTTGTGCGTCCGTGCGTGCGTCCGTCCGGATTTGTCTGGTCTATATCTTGGTCATTCTCTGGCGGATTACAAAATAATTTAGTACAAATGTTCAACATTTTGGGGTAGTGTGTCACAAACAAAAAAGGTCAATGTCACACTAAGGGGTCAGCGCAAAACCCTTGTGCAGAGTGTAACTACCACATGCATCGAGAGATTTTAATAGAATTCGGGACAAATGTTTTCAATAGTGAGTGTTAAGGGAACAATTCAGTTGTCTCTAGTGAAGGTCAAAGTCACATTTAGTGGTCAAAGGTTTAATAACGAAATAAAACATTCATTTGCGAGTACATGTATAACTTCTATATACATGGATGGATTTTCATCTTCATCCATAAATGACCTTGACCTTCAAGGTCAAAAATCCAAATTTTTGTTGGTTCTTGCTATTATTGGCTGTAACTTTTTTATTTTTGAATGGATTGTCTTTTAACTTCAACATAATAATCTTCAAGGATAGCCCTTTAAAATTACTAGACAGACCTTGACATTCACTCATAAATGACCTTGACTTTGAAGGTCAAATTATTGAAATTTGCATTTTTTTTTGGCTATTATTGGCTGTAACCTTGTTATTTTTGAATGGATTGTCTTCAAACTTGAACATAAAAATCTTCAAGAATAGCCCTTTAAAATAACCTGACAGACCTAGACCTTCACTCATAAATGACCTTGACTTTGAAGGTCAAATGATTCAAATTTTCATTTTTTTGGCTGTAACTGGCTGTAACTGCTATTATTGAATGGATTGACTTCATATTAAAACAGAACATTCTTAAGGACAAGACCTTAATGTTTATAAAACACAAATTGACCTTGGCTATTTTATGACCGTGACCTTGAAGGTTAAATTATTGAATTTTCACTGATTTGTGCATTAAATGACCATATATATGGTCATTTCATGCACAAATCAGTGAAAATTCAATCATGTACGCATTTATAAATATACGCATTTATATATATATACGCATTATATCTCCTTGATCTGAAGTTTACAGGTTCAGGTTTGAATCAAGACGTATGTGCTCGACATTCTGCCTGTGGGCATGTCTAGTTTCTTCTAGTTCATTGTAATGTATTTTTACTCTTTTTTTTGGAAAGAAATAGAGGTATTGCGACTTGTCGGCGTTGCCTTTGCCGGTCACAAACTGGTACCTTGATCATAAGTTCTTTGTGTATTGTCTTCATACTTGGTCACAACAACCATTGGCACAAGACCTTTTATTAGATAAGACTAAGTGACAACACGAGCTTATGTGATCACAATTCGTCCGGCGTTCGTCCGTTAACTTTTACTTGAAATGACATCTCCTCATAAACCGCTAAACCAATTTCATACAAACTTCACAGGAATGTTCCTTTAGTGGTCACCTTAAAAAAATCTATGGATGCTATGGCAACTGAAAGAAAAAAAAAACTTAAAAAAACTTCTTTAAAAAAACCCCAAAGAGCTAGAGCTTACATATTTAGCATGGAACATCTTCTAGTGAGTGTATACCAAGTTTGTTAAAAGAAAAGCCCCGGGTTCAAAATTAGCCCCGCCACGTTGGGTCATTGGTTTTCCTTATATGTACACATGACCTTTTATTAGATAAGACTATGTACACATGTACAGGAGCAGTAGTCCAGTGGTAGGACGCGCGCTTAGGGATCGAGAGGTCCCGGGTTCGAACCCCACCAGGGGCACTGCTAATTTCCTTGAGCTGCGATTGCTTCACTTCACCCAGGTGTAAATGGGTACCTGCGAGGGTGGTATAATTCCGTTGCGCCAATGTGTCGGCTGCACTAAGATGAGTTAAAAGACTCCCCAGGGAGATTGATAGATAGATACCAGTAGCCCGATGACCAGGGGTAATAGCTGAAAAGTCGGTGAACGTGCGTAAGCATGAAACTTAGACTATAAAATGCAATTACTTTACTGTACATCTTTTGGAACTGTTGTTTTTTCTTATTAGAGAAATAGCTTTAAATGACTTTGACTGTGAAGGTCAAATTATTGAATTTCGGTTAAAGTGTCATTATCTTATTATCTGTGTACGGATTTGATTTAAATTTGGACAAAACAAGACTTACTACCAAACAAACATATAAAGAATTTAGATGTAACCTTGACCTTAAATTGATCTTGACTGTAAAGGTCAAATTTATGAAATTGATGAAATTCTCTTGCTTTTTCCGTAACTGACAATAACGTTGACATTTATAAATAAATACTCCATATTAAGACACAACATCACTACTTAGGTCAGGACCTTCATATATATATATATACACAATGTATATATATATATATATATATATATATATATATATATATATATATATATATATATATATATATATATATATATATATATATATATATATATATATATATATAAAACTCAAATTGACCTTGACCTTGAAGGTCAAATTATTTCTTTCTCAGTGATATCGCGATGGCTCTTGTGCTTTTTTTATTATTGTTGTTTTTGGAATGTCGATAATTATGATAGTTCGGAGCGAAGCTTTCATATATCATTTGTAAATGGGGAGCTATGTAGGAGCACATTTGTCTCGGAACACAATTGTCTTACGTAAGACCGATGCGGTCGCATTTTGTCCCACATGACTCAAACGTATACCGAAAACAAAAATGTGTGTGACAAATGTGGTCCGATCAAGATTTTTTAGGGATAAGAAAGCACATTTGTCTCATGTTTTTTTAGGGCCAAGAAAGCACATTTTCTCATGCCATTTTCTCTGAATTATTTGTCACATATTTTCCAACGGCAGAATTTCTTTTAAGAATCGTGGTTCGCCGTTTTACCTCTTGTCAAGTGTAATTATTAATAGATTACTAATGCTTTTTTATGAAATCTTTAACCTAAAACCTACAGTGGAACTATTAATTCATATATCTCTTATTCAAGAAATTTGATTGGCTGAACCTATAGGCATACACTGAAACATACAGAATCCCGTTCACGATGGTACAATGGTTAAAGCGCAACGGCAGTAAAGTACGATGATGAAAACACGATGATACAACGTGAAACAATTATTGTACGATGGTGAAACAACCATGGTACAATGGTGAAACAACGAAGGCACGAAGATGAAAAATGATGGTACGATGGTGAAAACACGATGCTTCGATGTTGAAAATACGATGGAACGATGATGAAATTGCGATGGCATGGTGATGAAAACGCTATATTATTTTCATCATCGTGTAATCGCATGATCGTGATTTCACCATTGTGTCATCGTGTTTTACATCATCTTACCATCGCGGTTCCACCATTGTACACTATCGTGCATAGCGGTTCAGGGAGACAAAAATATTACTTATGTCCAAACGGAACACCAATATCAGGTGATATTTGAACGATCTGCGGATGTTTCTAAATTCAATATTTCACCATTTTCATGTTAAAATGTTGAATTCTGCTTCAACCGGCACTAGGGGTGCGGACGGTAGTTTGCACTTGACAGTTCCGTTAATGAACAGACTCAATCAAACCAAGCTTGCAACATTTTCAATGTTGCCGTTTTGCACTTTCTTTAGAGCTTGGTATTTTCTCTATTTTATCGTTTCGCGTCTCGCCGGAATCTCGCGGCTTCGCATCTTGTACGTCGACGCGAGACAAGAAAATCCTTCGAGGTCATATACCGCTAAATAGTTTTCCCATTATATTCTATATAAAATTGACATTTTTCAAAGAGCTACAAAACATAACCAGACCCACAGCTAGAGAACAAATCCTTATCTCATTTAAAAGAATTATGATAAAACTGATATAAAATGATGAGAAAAGTAGGGTCAAGTATCTTCATAAAATGATGAGAAAAGTAGGGTCAAGTATCTTCTAAGAAAAAATTTCTGGCGTCACATTTGTAACTGTAAAATCACTTCAGAAATTTTTTTGCTAATACGTGGGAGAACCACCAATATTAAATTTAAATTCAACTTATCAAATACAACTTTTGCTCGCATGTTTTTCCTTCCAAAATGTCAAAAACATATCCATAATGAAATTTAAACTGAAAACAGCTTACGTTAAGTCGTCTATGGCCATGCAGAGTGAAAAATAGTGTCCAATAACCTGTCTGCCATTATTCTACAAGGCCAGATGGTTCCCGCGCTGGTTCCTTTACCACAATCAGGCCTTTGAGAAGCACTGACACGATATACGCGATATTTTACCTACAGACGCAAAAAGCGAAATTCCGTCAAAACTTTTAGCGAGGCATGATATTCCACCGTGAAATCTTGTGGTACGGATTACTTTGACATTGCGAGTTCTGGTGTTAAAATATCTTGCCTTGCTCTGTGTCTCGGCGGAATGTCGCGTCTCGCCCGATTCTGCGAGACCCGATATTCCATAATTATGGAATAACCCGTTTTTTTAGGAACATGTGCACGTTGTAAATTCTTTTTCAATGGCTGATCTACTACAAGCAACAATTCTCGGTAAATGGCGATATTTTTTTAAAAACAAAATACGTGTAGGATGATCTTTCATGTTATTTCTTAGATCATTTAGGGGTTTCCGTGGCCGAGAAAAAAAAAACACTTGCCTTTTACCGCTCTAGGGTTTGACACTTACTCGGCGCGTCGAACTATTCATGCAAGAAAGCCTGTCAGGGGGTCAAATAAGGAATACCTATCCGCGTGCGCACGCGATAGTTATCGCGAACTTATGCCATAACTACCCGTTTAGAACGAAATAGCTATCGCGTGTGCACGTTATATTATCGCGTGACCACGTAATAGCTATTCCGTGCGCACATGATAAATAAGAAAATCCTATGTCCCCTTTATGCCACCGTAGATACTATATTGTTGTTGCTTAAGAAATAATAAAACTTAAAGCATCGGAATGAAACGTGTCACAACGATAAGAATTGACTCTGTGCATATGGATATTGCACTGGTGAAAATTTTCATTGTGGCATGCAGAACAGGGATATTCTTTAAGTTAATATATGACTCTTATGCATAGGCAGGAAGTTTTTGACTGACCGGAAATTACCTAAAAACGGTATTATAAATACAGAAAACACAGAACAATGGCTGGTAGCCGGTATAAGGACGGGCATAATTATTGCCTTTTAGAATTTTATGGAAGAATGTGAGACAAATTTGCTTCGAGTGTCCTTTCTATTGCGGGTCGAACACATCTTCCTAATTTCCATTTTGTCGCAAATATGAATGTTCACGAGCACATAAGTCACACATCGTGAGACAAATGTGCTCAGAGACAAATGTGCTCCTACAGAGCTGTTTTGAAATAATAAAACAATGTAAGGCAGTTTAGTTATCTCTGAACTTTTTAAGAATTAACATGATCATGCGTAGAATTAGAATAAAAACAGTGGATAGTGGTTTAGTGGAAATGAAGCCAACTGTGTTGAATGGCATGTACATTCTAATGAAGACTTTTAGTAAAAAATATTCTGGCAAGTTCTTAGATAAGTACTAGTATTTAGACAATGGCTTATATATTTATAGAAGTGTCGAGCAGTCTGCGATAATCGTAACTGTTTGATATTTTTTCTTTTATTTTTACCGGAAAAAAAACATCTAGAATTTTCTGCGTTTCGAATACGTTTTTGAAATATTTATAAAGTGTTTTCCTTAATATTCAAAATTCATTAAATAATAACACATTTTATATATGTATATATTGTAATTAAATAATAACACATTTTATATATGTATATATTGTAATTAAATAATAACACATTTTATATATGTATATATTGCAATAATAACACATTTTATATATGTATATATTGTAATTAAATAATAACACATTTTATATATGTATATATTGTAATTAAATAATAACACATTTTATATATGTATATATTGCAATAATAACACATTATATATATGTATATATTGCAATAATAACACATTTTATATATGTATATATTGCAATAATAACACATTTTATATATGTATATATTGCAATTTTGACAGACTGACCACTGTTTGCTTGTTGGACCAGGAGCAAATTTGTTTGCCGAGGAAGTTGGGATAAAAAAAGTTCCAACAGAATCTCTCGTGTCGGACGAGGCTTTGCGAGAACTTGAATGTTATAAGGCGTATGGGAACACGGTCGATGATCTCTTTAGACAACGGTATTCATTATATGCTGATCTGTAAATATTGAAGTATTAAAAGACAATCTGAAAATTCATAATTTGAAAAATTATTTGGTACCACCAAATAAGTCAATGTTTAGTTGTTGCGTAGTTGATGATGATGGTTTTTATAATCTAATTCTATTTTCTTAAATGATATCATATTGATTGTTGATATATACATTTTGTTGAATTCCAATTACAACAGAATTTATGCACATCTTTTTACTACAAGTTAGACGATGTGGGAAGGGTCAACTCTCTAATGTTGTTAAAACTTGTGGCCCGACCCTTTTGCTTTTTATGAATAACCATCCATGTAATAACTGTAAATTTATTAGACGCCGCGTGCACGCGACGTCTAGTAGATATGCATTCGTCTATTTAGGAATGGGGACAATTTTAGTCTTGCTTTTGTGTATTTTATTTTGTTTTAACAAAATCACAATGTTTTCAAATTTTCTAATGAAAATAGCTTTTCTGATGTACAACATGCCACCTAGCTTTAAGGAATTTAAATAAACGTTTAACTGAAGAAGTAATAGTGCCATGTTTGAATGTCATATTCCTTTTATCATAATCTAATATTTTATTCGCCTAATTAATAACGTACCAAGCCAATCTATAGTCGATCGCTCTAAAACTTAACGGTTGAGAGAGGTACGACTGATGCAGTGTCACTAACTTCATTTGCTCCGCCTCTGTTGAAGTACGGCTCCGCCTTAAATTGTCGCCAAATTTAATATGGTGCTCTGTATGCTAGCATTTAGTCTTCGTTGACGGAGGGAAGGAAACCACGGCAACTATAATCAATATCACTTCCTTACAAAATAAGGATGAAACGTTTTCCTGAAGTTATCATAAGAATTCCATCGTTCGTATAACATTTTCTCTCCCGTGATAGTTTATATACCAAAACAAGCAATTCAAATTATTGATCGTTTAATCAGTGTTCCACTTATTTGTTCTTTTTGGCTCCATTTGTTTTGGAAAACTTGTTCCGGTTAGGTGGTTTCCTGCTTACATTTGTTAGTGCACGATTGAACGGGAAACCAGCTGCAATCTTGCCAATCGCAACTTTTCGACCCTTTCCGTCACTCTTCGAATTAATGATAATAAACGAGGTAGTTCCGATTGCAATCGTGACAATTCGGGCGATTCCGTCATACTGCGGAATTAGACGAATAATATTACGGAAATCTAAGCTATTTTAGTTACTTCGGTAATCCCAGTTTGTTTATATAAATAGATTTCTATTTTTACTTGATTTATCGAAATTGTTCCGTTTCAATTCTTTTTCAAGACGCAAAAGTTAATTTCTTTTATAATTGGTTTTTGTCTTTATTAGTTTTATACAACAGAGAATGGTTACTGTAGTAGTATTCCGTCTCCAAAGGGCGGTCCTGCTTACCAAAAGATCGTGACCGAATCACGCAGAATATTAGTGCATAATCAAGTTATGACAGAGGTGAGGTAATCTAAAAATAGCCCATGCATATCATTAACCTTACCACGTGTTGTCGATCATAGATATTTTAGGTGTAACACAGTTGATACATGCATATTAATTGGTACCATGCACGTAACGAAGTCTTTTAGTGCATTTACTTGTTCTCTTAAGCTGCTATATAAATGAAATTAGCAACTGCCAAAACGAATGACTCTCTGCGAAAAAAGTGGAAATGAAATGTGCACACTTGTTTCCCTTCAGTATGATAGATAGATCTCCACGTGAGAGCCAATGTTAGTATTTTTACGATTGATTATTTTCTTTATTAGTTTTATACAATAGAGAATAGATTTCGAATCGTTTTTGACAAAAAATATTCGTTTTTACAAAAAAAGTTATCGTCAGCATGTTCCCGTTCAGTTATAATCAGTGGACTTCTGGTCCCTCTTTGGTCCAAATCTGCACGCATAACACTGGTGCTCAAACAAATGGGCACAGGTGCTCGTCCAGTCTTGGGCTTACCCTACCTATCCCTTTAAAAGTGAAACTCTTTTTTTTTCGAGAAAAAAAAACCAAATAAACCCTTTATGATATACAAATACCGTAATTAAAAAAAATGTGATAATAAAAAGACAATTTTAAAGGGATGGGACGATGGCACAACTGAGCAAGCCTTTCCTTTTAAAAGGAAACTTTATTGCCATTTGATTGATGCACATAACAATATTTCTCAGACATCATTAGATCATCAACACAATAAAAACGAGTATATTGTACTTATAAATTATAATACTCTAGCAAGCAGTTCGGCCAAAATTGGGCGTTTTCGAAAAGGTAAGGAGCTCAAAGCTCTTCCAGTGTTAAAACGAGGGTTGGGGTTTCAGGTTAGTATTAACAAAAATATACGAAAGTATGGATCAGTTAGATTTGAAAGTTTCAAGTTTTAAAACACAAATCTATGATAAAGCGTAAAATGAATTTGTTATTTTAGGGGAACAGGCCATGATACAGTTGGGGCAGTTGCAATCGACAGTAATGGAAATATAGCTTTTGGAACATCGACAGGTGGAATCTCGTGCAAAAAGCCAGGTCGAGTAGGAGACAGTCCTATCATTGGTGCGTATATTTAGTTGTTATATAATTCATGTGTGTGATCAGTTTAAATGATTGACTATGTCCTATGTGACTCTCAAACAGTGCTCTGGACAGAACACGTGATATTTCTGCTTTCAGAGATTACAAATGCCAAGGATATGTGTGAATGAGATTAAAGCTTTATTCGCTTTATGAAATAAAAATAACTGTCTTTGCCAAATTTGTATGATTAGGCTAATTTTAGTGTAATAAACTGCCGAATCAAAGTTATTTTAAACTTTAGATATTTGATCATTTTTATTAGCTTGACTATTAATTTTTTTTTAAAGAAATAGAGGTATTGTTACAGTCATGCCGTTGCCGTCGGCAAACGTGTACGTTGATCTTAACTTTTTATAAAAACCTTTAAGAATAGACCTTCAAGTAAACCTGACAGACCTTGCACTTCATTCATAAATGACCTTGACCGTAATTGAATATTTAGCTCACCTGTCACAAAGTGACATGGTGAGCTTTTAGATCGCTTTTCGTCCGTCGTCCGTCCGTAAACTTTTACTTGAAACGACATCTCCTCATAAACGGCTAAGCCAATTTATCCAAACCTCACAGTAACCTTCCCTAGGTGGTCACCTTTAAAAATTATTCAGATATTTTTATTCCATGCAAAACTCTGGTTGCCATGGCAACCGAAAAAAAACCTTAAAATATTTAAAAAAAAAACCCAAAAAGTTAAAGCTTAGATATTTGGCATGAAACATCTTCTCGAAAGTGTCAACCAAGTTTGTTCAAATAAAAGCCCTGGGGTAAAAATTGGCCCCGCCCTAGGGGGTCATTGATTTTCCTAATATAGTTAAAAGCTAAAAAATCGTCTTAAAAAACAAAGCGCTAGAGCTTAGATATTAAGCATGAAACATTTTCTAATGGGTGTCTACCAAGTTTGATCAAATGAAAGCCCTGGGGTTAAAATTGGTTCCGACAAAAAAGACTTCTTTAAAAATAACCAAAGAGCTAGAGCTTAGATATTTGGCGTGAAATATTTTCTAGTGAGTGTCTGCCAATTTATTTGAAAAATAGCCCTGGGGTCAAAATTGACCGCGCCCCAGGGACACATTGATCTTACTTATATTATACTTACTTATATAGTAAAAAAAAGGCTTCCTTAAAAATAACCAAAGAGCTAGAGCTTAGATATTTGGCGTGCGAGTGTCTGCCAGTTTATAAGAAAAAGGCCCTGGGGTTAAAATGTCCCGCCCGGGGGTCATTGATTTTCTTTATATGCATATAGTAAAAACAAAACAAAATCTTCTTTTAAAAAACCCAAATAAGTATTCTGACTCAGGGCTATAACTTTGTTATTTATGAAATGATTGACTTCATATTATAACAGAACATTCTATAGGATAAAATCTTCATGTATATCAAATTCAAGTTGACCTTGACTCTTTGATTTCCTTGACCTTGAACGTTTAATTATTGAATTTTCTCTGATTTTTGCTATAATTGACTGTAAATTGGTAATTGATAAATGGATTATCTCCATACAAAACAACATTTAAGGCAAGACCTTTTTAAAGGTTGAACTGAATTTGACCTTGAGCTTTCAGTGACCTTGATGTCAAATTATTGAATTTTGGTTAAATTGTCATAATTTTGTTATTTATGTATGGATTTCAATTAAACATAGACAAAACAAGTTCTGCTACCAAACAAACATTTGAATAATTTAGATTTGACCATGACCTTAAATTTACATTGACTGGTCGTACCCCGGATCACCCCGAACGTTTACCGGGGCTCTGTCGGGATATAGGTGAGACCGCAGCTTTATGGGGAAAAGTGCCACATAATGATCAATGAAAAAGCACATAAACCCCAAATGTTGGCATGTCCGTCCGTCCGCTATTCTTGTCCCGCTATTCTCGCCCGGGACATAACTTTGAAACAACAAGAGGTATTAACATGAAACTTTGTAGGTAGATAGATCTCATTGTGAAGAAGTGCAGTGCTAAAGAATCATAACTCTGCCTTGCCTAATTTTGGAGTTATTTCCTTTTGTTCATTTTTACACTTTGAACCTTGTCCGGGACATAACTCTAAAACTATAAGAGGTATCAACATGAAACTTTGTAAGTAGATAGATATTATTGTGTTGAAGTGAATTGCTAAGAAATCATAACTCTGTCTTGCCTAATTTTGGAATAATTGCCCTTTATTTTTTACACTTTGAACTTTGTCCGGGACATACTTAGTAACTCTAAAATTATAAGTGATATCGACCAGAAACTTTGTAGGTAGATAGACCTCATTGGGTGGAAGTGCAATGCTAAAGAAACATAACTTTGTCTAGCCTAATTCTGGAGTTAAAAAGTATGCCCATTGTTTATTTGTGCACTTTGAACTTTGTGTTGCCAGTTGGACATAACTCTTAAAATATAAGAGATATCAACATGAAACTTTGTAGGTAGAAAGATCTCGTTGGGTTGAAGGGCAGTGCTGAAAAACCATAATTCTGTCTTGCCTAATAAGTGAGTCATTGCCCTTTGTCCATTTGTACACTTTGAACATTGTCCGGGACATAACTCTAAAACTATATGAGATATCAACATGAAACTTTGTAGGTAGATAGATCTCATTTGGTGGAAGTGCAGTGCTAAAGAACCATAACTTTGCCTTGCCTAATTTAGGAGTTATTGCCCTTTGTTATTTTTTGTTTCACTTTTCACTTTGTCCGAGACATAGTTCTGAAACCATAAGAGATTTGTAGGTAGATTAATCTCATTAAATAGAAATGCAGTGCAAAACAACCTTAATTTGCCTTGCTTAATTTTGGAGTTATTGCCCTTTGTTCATTTTTGAACTTTGTCAGGGTCATAACTCTGACACTTCAAGAGATATACTTTTCTGTGTCCAAAACCCTCTCGGAGAGCATCATCCGGTTTAACCGGCTATCGTTTTTCTTCAATTTTTTTTTTTAAAGATTTGTTTAAACCGTTTGTTTGCTTTCAGAAAAAGTCAAAAAAGTCGAGCGTTGCCCCCGCCCGGTGGTGGCTCTTGTCGCTTTATTGTCCCCCGCCTTTTCTAAGAAAATAGGGGGATATAGAAAAAGGCTCCGTCCGTCTGTCTGTCCGTCACACTTTCGTGTCCGGTCCATAACTTTGTCATTTATCAAAGGAATCTGAAATAACTTGGCACAAATGTTTGTAATAATAAGAAGGGAGTTTGTAAATACTTGCCACAATTGTTCACAATAATGAGACGATGTGTCATGCGCAACAACCGGTCACCTACCTCCAAGGTCAAGGTCACACTTGGAGGTCAAAGTTTAACATAGTCTGTTATAGGGTATATTTTGTGTTTGGGCCATAACTTTTTCATAGATTGAAAGATTTTGTAAATACTTGCTACAAATAGTCACTATAATATGACAATGTGTCATGCACAACACTTGCACCCTTCAAGGTCACACTTAGAGGTCAAAAATTAACATAGTCTGTTTTAGGGTATATTTTGTGTCCGATCAAGAACTTCTTCGGGATTTTATAATAACTAGGCACAAATAATCACAATAAGAAGACGATATGTCAAGTACAACACCTGCATCCTTACCTCCAAGGTTTATGTCACACTTAGAGGTCAAAGGTTAACAGTCTGTTATATGGTATATTTTGTGTCCTGTCCATAACCTCTTCATAGATCAAGGGATTTTGAAAAAACTTGGCACAAATAGTCACAATGATAAGATGATATGTCATGCGTAACACCTGTGTCCCTACCTCCAAGGTCAAGGTCACACTTATATGTGAAAGATTTACATAGTCTGTTATAGGGTATATTTTGTGTCCGATCTATAGCTTCTTCATAGTTTAAGGGATTTTGAAAATACTTGGCACAAATAGTTACAATAATAAGAGATATGTCATGCATAACACCTGAAGCCCTACCTCCAAGGTCAAGGTCACACTTAGAGGTCAAAGCTTTACATGATAATTTTTTTAATTCCGTGTTTCATTTTATTTCTTTAATAAATTTATTGTTGCATTTGCAGATCTAGCATTGATCATAAGTTTTGACTGAAAGTCCTGAGATCCATACCTCAATCTTTTGAAATAGCACAATTTTATGCTTCGTATAAAAATTCCCCGAGGCGGGAGACGTTGGTAACTCTGTTACAAATTCTTGTTTAGCTTATGAAATGAAGCATATTAAGTTGTTTTTGTTTTTTTAAATGGCTTTAAATTACTCTTTAAAGGTGCCGGTGGTTATGCTGATAATGATGTGGGCGGAGTATCATGCACAGGTCATGGCGAGTCTATATTCAAGGTTGTCCTAGCTTATCAAATAATTACTTTGATGAAAACGGGTGAGTCATTGGTGAACATGCCTTCATTCATATACTAGTAGTTATAATTAAACATTCACTGTTCATATCACTGTTCAAGTAAAGCAGACTTTAAATTCTCTGGACTACATGTATATTACTATTTGTTATTTTCTATGAATGTTTTTAAATGATTTTATTTTCAAGTTTTGGCATTTATGATTTTTCGATATGAGTCAGCGGTTTTTTAGAGATCAATCAAGATCTGACAATATGCACTTCCGCACACCGCGGCATATGCACACCGCGATAAAAATTAGTTCTTTTTACTGATTGCAAAGATTACTTTGTTGTAGGTATATCGGCGCAAGAGGCAGCCGACAAAGCTTTGGCCAATATGGCTAATAAGGTTAATGGTTTTGGAGGAGTTATCGTTCTTAGTAATAATGGGGACCAGATAGCAAGCTTTACAACAGAGCGAATGGCTTGGGCCTGGGTCAAGGAGGGTGTTCTCCATCATGGAGTAAATCCCGGTGAAGATTTAACAGAGCCAATAGAAGAAGAGAAGGCAAATTGAAATTGGATTGCAAATCAATTTTTTTAAAAAATGCACGTGTTAATGTATAATCTCAAAATCTCACTTATTAGTCCCCTACCGATTTAACCGGTGGGGACTTTAGGTTTACCCTTTGTCCGTCCGTGTGTCCGTCAATCCGTCCAAAAACCTGGATCAGTGCTGAAAATATTTTTTATGAAACTTGATATATAGATAGACGGCAGTCTGAAGATTATGCAAATATTTTTCTATGTTAAAAACTTTGCTTGCTATGGTAACAAATACGCTGAAAGTATGGCAAATTTAATGCAAAATCTGGATCCTGTGATAAGGGAAAAAGTACTGAATATATTTTATGAAACTCGTTATGTGTAGACGGTAGTATGGAGATTATGCGCGTCTTTTTCTTTTCTTCCTATGTTGAAAACTTTGGTTGCTATGGCAACAAATAGGCTTAAAGTCTAGCATCTTTTTTCAAGAATTATCTCCTCCGAATTTTGCTTTTCCTGAGATCACTTTTAAAGAACTTTTCCAACAAGTTTACTTAAAATAGAGAAATGTTGAAATATTACATGTAGTTATACATATTGATCCTGAGAAAATTAGATCTTTTGATCATCTCTTGTATCAACATAATTTTCTTACTAGACAGGGAAACTTAGCACATTACTATGATACGGACAAACTAAGAACTCAAAAGATTTAATTTCATTCATGTCATTCATTCATTCATTGAATGGTCAATGGCCCTTCAGAATGTTGTTGGGGTTCTAACCGGTAGGGGACTTGTGATAATTGCTTCTATATTTATGAAATTGTGATTCAAAAGGACATGTGTGTTTTTTCAGTTTACATTTGTGCATAGCATGCTTCTACAGAGTGATGACACAAAATATACACATTGAATATGTACACTTATATCTGCCAAACTACACTTTAAAGTTAATTATGATACAGATATGAAGAAATGAAGGGACATGTTCTTCTGCAACAACCTCGTCACTGTTCACATAATTTGAAAATTTAGTCAATGAAATAAAAAGGATAAGATGTGCCACAACTTGAATACTAAGATATCATATGAATTAACTATACATGTGTTAATTTATAACCGGAATCTGTCATGTTTTGTTTTATTGTATTTTATTGTCCATTTCAGCATAATGAATACAACTTTCCTATTTCTCTGATTTATTTGTACATATCATCGAATTTATTTGGATAAAATGTTTGTGTTGTTAATTAATACTTGTTTTTATATTTAATTACTCCACTTACATCACTCATATAATTATTTAGAATTAAAGGGAAGAAACCAAGATTTCTATAGGTTTGTATATTTTTGTCTAGGTTTCTAGTCTTTTAATAGCTAACCTGTCACAAAGTGACAAGGGGAGCTTTTGTGATCACAATTCGTCCGGCGTATGTCCGTCCGTCCGTAAAGGTTTACTTTAAATGACATTTCCTCATAAACCACTTAGCCAAGTTCATCCAAACTTCACAAGATCGTTCCTTTCGTAGTCACCTTTAAAAATTGTTCAAAGAATTTATGGTGTCAATCATCATGAAACATAGTACGCTAATCCTTTGCAAAAAAATGATTATATAAGTTGGTTTTGAGTAAGTGGTAATCAGTCTGCAAAGGAGGCTTTCTACACCGAAATCAACGGTCACCTGTATTCAGCAGTATCATGGTTTAACCCGCCAAGCAAAATTGAACACTTTGTTTTCAGTTACACGTTTTCTTAAATTGTACTTACCTTATCCAGCGGCTATTTATTATTACACTTTATTTCCCATTTTCATAGATTTTAACATAATAGAAGGTGAAGTACAAAGGACCCAGTGTAATTAAATACTACACCTAAATAATTGAAATCGTCAACAATTTCCAAAGCTTCATTATTATAAAACCAACGTTCATGAGGAAGTACTGGTCCTCTATTCCGAAAAACAACTATTTTAGTTTTGGCGGTATTTACCTCTAGGCCCCATAGATTAAAGAGTTTAATCTTTGCTGTAAATCCTCTTGCGAGTTACCAATTATTCTCATGCGTCAGCCGAATATTTAATTATTGTATTACATATGTAAAGTGATTTTTTAGCACAATCGAGGAGTTTTGTAAAAGTAATTCTTTAGGTTCTTCGAAAACTGGCTAAAACGTTGGCGTCGAATTATTCTGGGCATTGTCGTAGCACCGTAAATTGAAAATTTCTCAAATTATTTGCACTGTTTAACGTGGAAACAATTGAATAGATGTATTTAAAAAGTTCTAAGTAAATTTCCATTAATCCCATATTATGAAATTTATAATTAATATTGCGTTAGGGTCGCCTTTTTAAGTCCGTAAACCGTGGTTAATGTTTTTTGTGAATTTAAATCATAATGGTCTATTAATATTTTTAAAACGAAAATTGTTTATTACGACCTTCCCGGTCATCAACGGTCACCAGTTCATCTATATTGATCGATTATTGTCTACAAACGTTTATTTATTCCCCTCTCCCCAAACAATGTTGAAAATAGTCAATAGTTAAATGAAACATCTTTATATCGTTAAAAAATGTTCCCCGCAGGAAACCATTTTACTTGTTACCATATCGTCAGCGAATAACAATATTACTATACATATTTCAAATATATTCAATAATTCTAGGTCTTCTAAAAATAGTGCAAACATGGCGGGCGAATTATGTTGGCCTTGTCGTAGCCCAACCGATAAATTGAAAAACTCTGAAAATGTATTGCAATGTTTAACACACGACTTAACAATTGAATACATTGATTTAAAAGTTCTAAGTAACTTCCCATCTAATCCCATATTATCAATTTATACCATAATGCATTGCGGTTCACAGAGTCAAACGCCTTTTTTAAGTCGATAAAAGCACGAGGTAATCGCATTTTTTTGAGTTAACATCTGGTTTATTAAATTATGTAACACGAAAATTGCATCTACTGTACTACACCCCTTTCTGAAACCAAATTGAGCGTCTGACAAAATGTTATTCTCATCAAACCATTTTTCCACTCTATTTGTCAAGATACTTATAAATAATTTCCCAAAGTTACTTAGTAATGTGATGCCACGATAATTGTTAACATTAGTATGATCACCTTTTTTATGAAGAGGTATAATAAAGCCTTCAGACCATATTTCTGGAAAATAGCCTGCATCAAAAACTCTGTTAAATAGATCAGTGATATCGCCTACTAATGTATCAATAGAAAGTTCAACAAGTCATCACTTGGACAAGACTCTTTGTTGCGGTTTAATCGCTTCACCGCATCTCTAACTTCTTCGCAAGATATGGGAATATTAAGCTCTTCGAAAGTAGGGTTACTAATATTAGGATCAATATTATCGTTTGAAATATTAGCATCAAAATGAGTTGTAGCCCTTATTTCTTCAAACATATTTGCAAAATAATTTTGGAAATCTAAAATTGGTATATCCGAACTTTGTGATACATTTCGTTTTTTGAAATGTTTCCAAAACTCTCTTGGTTTACTAGTTTTCAATTCAGACAATTCTTGTGCCCTTTTAAGTCTATATTGTCGTTTCTTTTTACGAACAATGTTTTTAAACTCTTTTTTCAAGTCACATAGAATATATATGCCTGTTAGTTTCGTTTTTATAAGTATTAAAAATCGACAAAGCATTAAGATAATTACGCTTTTTTTTCGTAGCATTCTTCATCAAACCAAGAACAATCAGATTTTCCACCCTTTTTTCTACCTTTTCGCTTAAAACGAGGCTCGGCTACATCTTGAATGATCTTTGAAAACTTTAAAACAATATGTTCAATGTCGCTCGAAGAAGAACTCTCAAAAATATCGTTTAAATCAGCCATTCTTCCTAATAAACCCCTTCTAAATTTATCTTTGTTAGCATCACGCCATTTAAAATATGTACTCTCACTTTCTAAATTTCTTGGATTAAATTTAGTATCTAAGTATTTAACAGTAAACGAAATATGTCTTTTTCTTCATCTTTTATGAAAAATGTTCTATATGCTATTTTAATACCGAGTTATTACGTTCATTACAATTTTTTTATTATATAAATTTTAAAAATTTAATTGTCATATTGACCGGTTTTTGTTTAAAAATTAAAATGAAAAAAATTTAGTAAAATTTGAAAATTTTTTTCAATTTTTAAATTTTTCATTTTTTTAAATTTTTTAAAAAAAATAAACAAAAAATTAATTTATAAAAACAAAATTTGGTTTAAATTAAATCTCTTTACTAAAAACGAAACAAAAATTAAAAAAAATGTTTCAAAATTGTTTTGCACAATTTAAAAATTAAAAAAGTCCCTTTTTTTGTATTAAATTTTTTTTATCAGAATAATAAAAAAAAGTCTTTTTTTATTTTTAAAAATTGAAAATTTTTGGTATGATAATTTTTAAAATGACAAACATTCAATTTGGGAAAAAAAAATTATTTATTTTTTAGATTTAAATAAAAATTCTTCCAAACCGGGGGAAAACCGGAAAATTTAAACCCCTGCGATACTATTCGCCCGGGTTTTTGTAAATCCCCCGGCCAAAAAAGCCCGGAAGGGCCGGGATTTCGATAGGGGACCCGGGGAATAATTCCCTAAAATTTTTTTCTCTTTTTAAAATCAAAGGGAGTATTAAAGTTACCAAAAAATTGTTTTGGTAAAAAAAACTTTATCCAAATCAGAAAAAATTTTAAGGGCCCTTCCTTTACTATTAAAACTTATTAGACAAAAGGGAAAAATCCCCGAAAAATTTTCAATAGGACGATTTGGCCCCATATATCTTTTAAGTCGGCCCGATATGGATTCGAAGTCGGCTCACATCGTTGTGTACCCGGGTCAATTGGTTTTAAAGACTTTCAGCCGATATTTTAAAAATAAGTTTTTTTCTTACAGCATTTGGGTTTTTTTTCCCTTAAAATATAACAGAAAATATATTTTTTTTGCAAAAACCTTTTAAAATTAATATCCTGTCTTATTATTTAAAAACATAATTCCTGTTTAAAAAAATTATGTTTAATCAACCCATTTTTTTTTA